TAACCATTTGTCAACTTACACTAGACCGAACCATTACAAAGTATAGATGATTTTTGATATGTAAGAAGGATTAGGATTTCTCTAAAGTGCTATATCACATTCACCCTTAAAGATTATCAAATAGTTATTCCATATAAAATGCTTTTGACTGTTAATTTAATTTTGCAAAGGATTGCAAAGAGAACATGGCCCTGTTCCAAGATTAATGTTTGTCTTAGTTTTATACGTATGAAACAAAATAATGAGCTGGTAATTTATCACTTGTAAATATGATGTTGACTCAAATACGCACTGGTATACAATATTTTTTATATTAGGAAAATAACTTTTCAAAGTACTAGTAATCATACAACCAATAACATTTCTTCATAGTAAATATAGATAAATAACTTGAAAGTGACTTAAATCCATTTACACGAGAATAATACTGAGAAATCTTTAAATTGCAACTGAAAGGTCAAGACAGTAAAAGTTATGCCATCACATATCAGTTCCAGACAATTAGTAAAGGTCCTTTATTTTAATATCAAAAATACCAAGTCCCTTAGTAATAGATCAAGAACAAGCTTTCCTGTTACTCTTTACTAGTGCAATTTGCCTTATACAAAAGGATTCGATCACTATGATTCCTGGCCATACAATTACCATATACTCCCTCTATTCTCAAGGATAAACAAGACTTTAATGGAGGGTTCTTAGATTCTGTATCCTTTTCTCTCTATTCTTGATATTTCTCTTTATGTTAAATGCTTATTTTAAATCTATGTGCGTGATTAAAGTCTACAATCGGATATCATTGTATCGTTCTTATTTTCACTATGACTGGTTATACTCTCACTTGTATTGCAGATGACTAATTAGGCATCAACAATCAAAAATTCGTTGTTGGGAAAAATATTACATGAAAGAAAATGTAATCTAATTTTATTTTACATTTTTTACAAGAGAATTTTGTCGTAAATTATTTATAATTAAAAATCATCTGTGCTTTTTTAACATATATTGCATTTTTTTTCCTTGGTGCAAAAGATTAAGTTATGAACATCAGATTGATTGAAGCCCCCTTGAGTAAAATGGAAAGGAAAGGCAATTTAAAAGAAAAAGAAAATGACAGCTAGGTGGAAGAGGATCAGGAAGAGGAGGAGGAGGAAGGAAGAGGAGGAGGAGGAAGAAGAGGAAGGAGGAGGAGGAGGAGGAGGAAAAATAGTAGGAGAAAGAGGAAGAAAAGGAAGAAGATAAAGAAGAGGAGGGGGAGGAGGAGGAGGAGAATGATGGGGAAGGGAGCAGAAGATAAGTGTGTGTTAGAGAGAAGCATATTTTATATATATTAAGTTGTATCTTTCAAATAACAAAATGCACACCTTTCCAAAGAGCTTTCACTGCCATTGTAAAAAAATGATTTGTCCTTTAGAAACTACGGTGATGTCTGGACTGAAAACATGATAAATGAATAAACCTCCATGACTACATCACTCTAAAATAAAACAAAGTCACTTTCAATAAGATTAACTTTGGAAATACATGCAACTCTGAACACCTGAACAAATGAACTGCTGTATGAGAATTTCAAAAGGCGATTCAAATGGTATTACAGAGGAAAATCTTGACTTTAGTAATGCAAAGCTGAAATATTAATAGGAAATCTGTATAAAATGTGCTGTCACTGTACATTAGCCATACATGCATAGCGACAATTTCAGCTTTGCATACTAACGTGAACTGTCTGTAAGTAAAGGGTGAATTCAACCAATATATACTCCTACACAATACTTGTAATTTCTCAGAGTCCTTTGCTGAAACATCTATACTTCTCCTATCGCTTTCAAATGTGAAAAAGAAAGAAAACAACAAAGTTAAATAAATATGTTGTAATCACAGAAAAATCATATTTACATGAGATACATATATATCTATATATATATCTTTACAAATACCAATGCACAGTTTGGGTCATTTCAGCATGCTAAAGTAATGCTACTCATTAAGTCTGTAAACATAAACACATGAATATAAACCCTCTCATCAAGATTTATAATTTGTTTATACTGTAGATGGACTTTGTGGTGCTGTATGGGAGATGTGACGGTGAGAGCTCCATTGGTTACAAAAACTTTATATAGTGTATTCTGCAAGAAATGTTTACTAATGTGGAGATCTGCATATTCAGATTATGAGTGCGTACTAACACTTCCCGGAGGACTGTGCGATACAGAAATTAGGTCGACCCAGTGGTGCACTATAAATAGCAAATAATTATTCCAAAATACAGTTTTTTGTGTAAAATAATATAAGACAGTTACATAGAGCACTGAACACTGAAGAGTAAAAATTATTTTATGTAGCTGTATTTAAAGGTAGGCGTACAACCTAGAGCTCATTGGAGTTCACACAGAAATTCTGACCTGTGACTCTGAACTCCTAAAAGCTAAATCTGTATGTTGCAGACTATGCAAAGGCTGTTTAGCTGTGTATTATCTGGTGAGCTATATGAAGCATGTCCCTCATTGTTCCTAAAAGGAATAAAAATGCAGCCTTACTAATTTAACTTATTTGACAGTATTGCCACCATCATAAAATGTTTGTAAGTAAATTGAATATTTCTTAAAGTATGTGTAATGAAACATTTGATATTTGCAGAAATACATCCTTCAGATTATGTAGATTTGGTATATACAAACTTCAGCATTAAGTGAGAGACAAAGAGACAAATTATAAGATTTTGTTGTAAGAGATATAATAATCAGAATATTTCTACTATTTGTTGTTTTTCTCTATTCCTCTACTCTTGTTTTATCCTGTTGATATTGCACATACATAATCTTCTAGAATGAAGGTATAGGTGTTCCCTTATCTATTTCTGATTCACTTGACCTTTGTACACCCTTCTCAGTTATCCAAGGAGATATACTGTAGAGAGAGAATGTCATTGTACTTTATATTTATAGGAGAACACAAACAAACCAAGGGCATAACAACAGAACTTATCAATAGTTTCAGGTTCTATTGTCAATTTCATGCTTAACAATTAAATAAACCTGACAGTGATTAGTCTCATATACCATTACGTTCTGGTCTATTATCTAATGCTATGAACACATGCATTGTCAGTGATATGTATATGATATGACAATCCAATCTGTTATGAACTACTCCCAAAGATGAAACATTTCATTCCACTGTATTTGGTTCATACACACATCTTTTTCATAAACCCCCAATCACTCACATACTAGCTTCTCCTAATCCCCGTACTGCTTTTTAAATCCATTCATGATAGAATATCCCTGCGCCATACACTGGGATTTGTGTGATGTCCACTGCTTGAGTGAAAAATTAGGAGTGTCAGAAACCTAAAATTACTCTACACTATCCTTTTTACAGCAGTATACACATACTGGAGGGAAATAAGAGAAAAATAAGATACTTCATGCTCACTTTTGATAAGGACCATTTCCTCCATGATGAATCAGGGCCAAACAAGCACCCGTTTAATGCACATAACTTGAGCCACTTACACTCCAAGGTGGCACATTGCACATGGCACACCATTTGAAAATGAACATCCATGAAAAGAAATTTTTAATATATTTCCATATGTTAGTTTTCAAATGGTGTGGCATGTTTGACATGCCACCTTGGTGTGAAAGCAGCCTTAGAGCATGGCTCACCCACATGTGGTTTGTTTGCTTGCCATCCAGCATTTGAGTCCGATTCTCAATGATGTAATATGACATCCTGGGTAAAAAAAAAAGCACTTTGGGTTTATATTAACTACTGAATTACTGACAATTAATTCTCCTACACAACATAGCCTACAGAAATTTTATGAATCCTGTCTCTTCTGGTACTTTCTACTAGCAATGAAGCCTTGTTTCTTACCACTGGGTTAGACATGTAGCCCTGGTCACAAGATGCAAGATCACTGACACATTACTTTCTGGCTATGCAGAGAGGTCATAGCTGAGCTCCCCTGTTGGTTACATAATTGTAAGTTATTCTACTTATAGAAAAGGGGATACTTTTGTAGACTGAAAGGTCGGAAATAAAAGAAAGAATCAAAGAAAGAGCAGGCTCCTTTTTTGACGAAAGGATTCTCTCAGATACAGTACAATTGTTCCATATTATCCCTATATCACAAAGACAAAGTACACCCAATCCCACACATCGCACATTGGTTCACAATGGCAATGAAATGATGATGCTTACCAGTAAATGCTTCAATAAATAAATCTATATTCTGATTAGACTATCTGGAAAATATATCAGTACTGTACATTGGCCTGATAAAACACCAAATATTGTGCAAAATATTTTTAAAACTTTATACAGTAGCTTGCATATTATCACTCCACTCTTAAATGAAATAGCAGTAGTAAGATAATATATATAAATATATTTCTTTTTTTCTACAAAAATGTTTGTCTGTGTGAAAAGTTCTCTATTCATACACACATATGTAAGTGTGGTGTGTGTGTGTGTGTGTGTGTGTGTGTGTGTGTGTGTGTGTGTGTGTGTGTGTGTGTGTGTGTGTGTGTGTGTGTGTGTGTGTGTGTGTGTGTGTGTGTGTGTGTGTGTGTGTGTGTGCATGCGTGCGTGTGCATATATATATATATATATATATATATATATATATATATATATATAATATATATATATATATATATATATATATATATATATATATATATATATAATATATATAATATATATAAATATATATATAATATTAGATATATATATATATATATATATATATATATATATATGTATATAGCGTGTGTGTGTGTGTGTGTGTGTGTGTGTGTGTGTGTGTGTGTGTGTGTGTGTGTGAGTGTGTGTGTGTGTGTGTGTGTGTGTGTGTGTGTGTGTGTGTTGTATATATTATATATATATATATAATATATATATATATATATATATATATATATATATATATGTTATATATGTATATATTATATGTGTATGTGTATATGTATATGTATGCATATGCACATGTATATTTGCATTTGCATTTGCATATATGTATATGCATATGTATATGTATATGTATGTACATGCACATGAACATGTATTTATTTATTACTTCAACTCATTGTTTTGGATTCATGTGTCCAAATCTATAGTGTTTGATGAGTAGCACCGCCATACCACACTGAAGAAAAGACCCATGACAGTACAATAGCTTACACTATTGGACAACAGATTTTACAGTTGATGCTCGCTTTTGCTTGGCCTTGTGGTTAGTCCGTCCACGTGGCCAGGGCCGTGCAGCTCAATGAAAGCCTCAAGAAGACGAGGAACTTGACCCTTATAGGGGATGCTATTGACTTTGATGACTTTTGCCGCTAGACATTTGAGACTCAGTTTCTTCTGTGTTCTAAGGATGATCTCTGCAACACCTGTGTGTGAGGCAGAAAAGAACTACTGTACATCAAGCAATTAAAATATGTGTTTTGAAGTCTCAATGAAGCCTTGTTTTACACAAATACAGTTATTTTGCTTACTGATTAATTTAAACTTAGACATTAGTATATTGTACCTGTCGTTGCAGAATCAAAAGGCGTTGCTCCCATCTGGTTGACAGTATCCATATGAGCACCATTCTCTATTAGTGCCATTATGATATTGTGTAAAGTCAAAAAATCACTGAAAAAAAGATAAGAAAGAAGTTTCTTCTATGGTTATTTTTGTTCTTATTTGGATATAATTCTTAATTATCTTTAAATCTAATTTCCCACATTCTTCATTATTCTGAATAAGCTTTTATTTAAATGGAAATTAGAATTCCTCAAAGAAGGCAATAAGAAAAACAAGCTTGATATAACTGACACATGATCTGCAGTTTTCTAGTTGAGTTCAAGTTGCTTTATTTAATATTAATGATAATGAAAGCGGAAGACAATGCCAGTACTTACAAAGCAAGATGCCAAGATGAATTTGGTAATGTAAGTGATTACATATGGGAAGAAAAAGAGAAAGACAGCTGCTGATCATGGGGTGAAGTTAGGAGAAATGGAGAGAGGGAGAGAGAGAAAAAATGAGAAAGTGAGACAGAAAGGCAGAGAGAGAAAGAGAGAAAGTAGGAGATAAAAGATGAGAATGAGTGAATAAACATCTATTCTCCCTGTACTGTCTATTCTAACTAAAGAACTCCACAGTTGACAATCACCTTATTGGCTTCTGGTAAGGAACAATAAGGTGTAAGGGGGTGTTACGGTTGCTATCCATACTATTGACATCAGCACCACATGCAATAAGGAGTTTTGTAGTCGTTGCACATGGAAATCTGGAACAAACAAAACAAATCATTGAAATTACATATGTGTTGAGATCACATCCATATCAGTAAATGAATGTAATCTCATAAGTCGCAATAAATATTACTACTATTACTACTAGCAATTATTTTATATCAACAAAATAATAATAACTAACCTGCAGATATGGTTTGTGTGAAAGTCATCTACAGGAGTATCAGGATTGACAGCCAAATGTAAAAGTGTCTGTCCACTCCTAGTTCTGGCTTGCACTCTCACAAGACTGTGGAAATAAACCAAAAGAATAACTGGGTGTCTTTCAAGATGCAAATTTGGTCTGGTTGGCTCAGTATTATAGTTACTCATTCAAAGTTGAGAAAATGCATTGAAAACAAAATCCAAGCACTGAGGCCCTATACCTCTTTTTTTTCTTTTTCTTTTCTTTTTTTAATTACTCAGATAGCTAAAAGATCCACTTTTTTAGTCCTCAGAACTTAAAACAATGGGCAACAATGGGTGAAAAAAAATCCCTACAAAGTAAAAGAAACTCACTTGTAAACTGTCTGGTATACTTGAGATTCCTTTTCAACAGTCTGGTTGATCTGTTGCAAAGAAGGCCTAATGGCATCCCCACCTTCAAGCGCCCCCACCCCGATACCCACAATACCAACACCCCCATTTATGCCCCTGATCCCATTGTTGATTCCGATGCCACCGTTTCCGCCACCATTGAGTTGAGCAGACGTGGACCGACCTTTGGCCACGCAGACAGCAATCATGATAAGGTACAGGGCAGTTATCATGTTGCTCTCCATTTCATCCTGCAAATTATGAATAAAATCTAGATTAATTGTCAATCTTTTAAATAATATTATGACTAAAAAATTCTAACAAAGATTGATTAAGTATCTACTTATATCTATACAAAAATGTGGAGAAAACCATGCGTCATGGGTGTGTTTCTTCTCTCTTTCTCTTCCTCTCTATACTTTCCATTCCATTTAACATGTACCATTAAGAATACGAAAGGAAACGTGCTGCAGAAAACATTACACTTCTAGCCTGTCCAATCTGACCTGGCAGACTGTTTAATTTCTTCGTCTTTATATCTGTTGCATCAGAGAAAGAAGGAACAGAGAGAGAGAAATAAGAGAACACAGTACAGAAGAATAAAAGAAATCTCTACCTTTATTGTCTCTACGTCATCCTTTGGACCAGGACACTGAATTTTTTCTTGGTTTCTTTGAAGTTCTATGACTGTGGCATCTAAAACTTCGTGCACAGCTTCAAATTCCAGCTGCACACCAACATGTAACATTTGTGAAAATACCTGAAAGAAAGACAAAGTAAGAAACTGAACCACTTATAAACAGTATATATAATGAAAATAATAATTAAAAATAAATAAAAATAAAAAAGAAAACAAAAAAAAAAAAAAAAACACACACACACTAAAGACTTCTCACAATAAGAGCTAATAATGTGAAAACTATATCTTATTTATGAAGTTGAGAACACTTATGATACATAAGTCAATTCATACAAATACCTGTATGTGACTTGCAAGATAATTACCTGTGCAAATCTTAAGAGATCCTTCATAACACACACTTTATTTAGCTGCTTTAATCTTAAAGCATGGATCCAGAGCTGTAAACACCGATCAAATCGAGCATTATCGGCAAATACAGCTCCTCTGAATATAACCGGGTGAGGAACCTGTAATACAAAATTGTTGAGTTCTCTTTCTGTGAATGGATATGCAAATGCTAGAATTCACTTATCTAACTTCCATGAATTCCCTCCGATTCTATTGTACAAATCTCATCTGAGAACACGGTCTGGAGCATATCTTCTATACTAAAGAGTGTAATATTTACAAAGAAAAGTGGAGTTCATAGTTAAATTAGATGAGCTATTAACAAGAAAATGCAATAAGAAATCACATTTTCCCAATAGAACGTTCAAGCACATATACACTGAGGTACAAAAACACCAACTCGTCCTCAAATTTTAAAAATGTGTCTTTCTTTTGTTTACACGTGGCTGGGTCCAGAAGCAATGTCACCAATGGATTGAAATGTGAGGCCTACCTGATTTTACCTATTTATCCCTTTTTTTTTTTTAAGAAGTTTATCCTTTAATTACTATTCCAATCATTTCTTATGATGATAATAAAAATTGAATAATAATGTTAATAACAATGTTAAAACTTTTAATCTGAGTTCATATGAAAATCGCAGTAGATCCAGGGGGAGTTGCTAGTCCAACATCACAAAAGGAAAAAGCAATATCTATATATTTTCATTAAGAGTTCAGTAACCTTTCCAAGCCAATATTCCGGCTCTTCCTTCTTAAGGGTACCATCTATAGTAAAAACCAACTTCCAAAGTTTCAGAGCCAAGCTCAGAAACCCTTTGAATTTTGCATGTTTTATCAGACTTTTTTTTTCTTTTTATAGAAAAAGAAGGAAAAAATAATGAAATAAAATAATCTACATATATGATACAACACCTTTTGTTTTACCTAAATTTTAGATAGGTCTGTTTTATCTGATGCCAAGTGCATGTGTTTTGTACTTTTTTTCAATTTCACTTCATTCCTTTGCTTTGTATTATTAAAAGGTGATAAATTTTAAAGAAATAATACCCATCTTTTCATGTTGCATATATGCTTTTTACATGAAACACATGAAAAAATGGAAAAAAGTCCACTAAACAACTTCCCAAGGAAGAAAATAAAACTCTCTCTCTCTCTCTCTCTCTCTCTCTCTCTCTCTCTCTCTCTCTCTCTCTCTCTCTCTCTCTCTCTCTCTCTCTCTCTCACTCACACACACACACCACACACACACACACACACACACACACACACACACACACACACACACACACAACACACACACACACACACACACAAATTACTACATATTTGCAGTGACATTCTCCTTTACCTCAGGATTATGGGGGCCGAGAATACGTTCTCTGATGGCTAAGCTCTCCATATGAAGGGTTGCCGGAACATGAAGAATGGCCTCCAGCTCTTCTACTGTTTCACACTCGATACGATTTTCATACGCTGGAACCGGTTCAGTTTTTGGTTTTCCTGCAAAAAGAAGTGGAAATACAAAACAAAGTGCTACACACCTTTATGAATGTGCGACTCGCCTTCTGTGTGCTCATGGCTATATATTCTTCTATTTCTTTAGGAACTTCTACTTTTGTTTTGTTTAGTCTTACATTCTTTCTTTTACATTCCATTATCAAAATGCATACTAAGCACATTCTGCTTTTTCATGTATCAAAAATTCAACATTTCCCTTTTATCTTGTAATAAAAGAAGTATTTTTTCATCTATGATCAATACCTAAAACATTAAATAACATATAAAATTAAAAGGCTGACCCAATTGGCTGGTTTGTTAAAATTGTGCGAGGCCCAACCCAATGAATATTTTTTATAAGGACATGCATATACACAGAAAAAAATGCATATCTATCAGAGTAGACATGCATATCTACTCGATAGACAGATAGACAAATGTATATCAATCATATAGCTGGATATACATTTATTTCTGTGTATATGCATGTCTGCATAAATGAAAATTCATTGGATTGGGCCTCACACAATTTTTACAAACTGGCCGAATAACTCAGAGTTGCATATCTTTCATACATAATAACATACAACAGTGTCAGTTCAAAATGTGTGAGGACTCTATAAAAAAAATTGAATTATCATTAATAACTTCACACCACTCCTACAATACCAGAGGTTCCATGCATAATGAGGGTACTGAGGTTTCTGTAGCACCTAAAACAATCACAGTAATTATATAATACCTTTGAAGAAAAGAAAGGAAAAGAAAGAAAGAAAAAAAAAAAATAGATGGAAAAAATGGAAAAATGCAACTGGAATGGTGAAAGATTTTCACTTGTTTTGTGAAATGCATTTTTCTGGAAATCTGCACAAGCTGCAACCATGTACAGTCATTTAAATGCATCTTTACATATTCACATCAAAAGACATGTAATCTTATAAACGTACCATAAGTTTAAAATGCAATCCATTATAAATCCCGTGAAGTATTAAAAGAAACAACCAATACCAAACTTACGGAGTAAATTCTGGGGCAAACTTGAAAAAAACAGAACTTTAAATAGAACTTTTTCACTTAGCTTTCAACTAAAATGAGAATTTACTATACATATATTACAATCTTGTATGTAAAACCAATATACTTACTTATAATATTGTCTTCATCACTATATCTTTCCTTCATACCAAGCATCATGTATTTGTAGGCTAATTCTATATCATAATTGTCTTTATCACTAGCATATGATGCTCCGAGCAGCTCGAGAGCATCCACTTTTTCTTCTCTTGTAACATCAGGTCTTGATATCAAATATTCAACGACATCTGCTCTTGTTCTCTCGGCTGCAGCAATTAGGGGAGTCATGCCATGTTCATTTTTCGTAATTTTCGCTCCATGCGCCAATAGCTCTTTCACAATCTTCACATGGCCACACTCAGCCGCAAAGTGGAGGGCTGTTGCACCACAGTGGGCCTTTTCGTCCGGGTTCGCACCAAGTTCCAACAAAAACTGTACAACATCAACATGCCCCTTATAGGCTGCTATCATCAGGCAAGTGTTGTTGTATTTATTAGTTATATGAATATTAGCATAGTGATCTGTCAGGTACTTCACAATGTCTAAGCGTCCATCAAAGCATGCAGCTCTTAAAGGGGTCGAGTTTGTTTTCGTTGGGTGGTTCACATCTGCTCCATTTCGCACCAGCATTTTCACTACGCCTAGATGACCCGCACCTGTTTAGTAAAAAGTGACTTCTTATTTGAGGATTCTTAAAAATAGATGCAGAAGACTCTGTGTGTGTGTGTGTGTGTGTGTGTGTGTGTGTGTGTGTGTGTGTGTGTGTGTGTGTGTGTGTGTGTGGTGTGTGTGTGTGTGTGTGTGTGTGTGTGTGTGTGTGTGTGTGTGTGTGTGTGTTGTGTGTGCATATAATTATGATCTCAAGATTGGCTCGTATATGATACACCAAAGAATATACATTTTCAATGAAAATAAGGATATATCTATGAAATCGACAAAATAGTTAATTACACATCAAGGGGCCTTTATACATCTGTCCAGAAATGAATGAACATAATATGCTAATGAGAAGACAACAAATTATCATTAAATAATGATAACAATGGCAAGAAGAACATGAACCAAAGAAATGTCATTATTATCATAATTATCAATATCAGCAATAATGATAACATAAGAAAGAACAAAAATACTGATAGCAAAAATAATAACAACAGCTAAAAACAAACTATGGACAACAATAGAATATAAAAAAAAAAGAAAAAGAAAAAAAAAAAATAATATAATAAACATGACAATAACAACAATAGGGTCAGTAATGACAATATTATCAACAATGTGTTTCAACAATAATAACAATAACGTTAATAACAGCAATAAAAATAAAGAAAAAAAATCAATAATCAGAAAGCTTACCAGCAGCACACCAAAGCGGGCTTGCCCCCTCAATGACATAGCCGTCAAATTTGACAGTTCCCTCTTGCTCCAGGTCAGGAGTAAACTTTAAGAGTGTTCTCACAGCCTTTTCATGGCCGTTCCGAGCTGATATTAATAGTGGAGTACATTTCTGGCCATCTTCTTCCACAACCTGAAATGGAATTATTATGTTTTTTTATTTATTATTATTATTTTTTATCTATTTATCTATTTTTTTTAAATCTAAGTATAAATTATCTAAGGACCTACAGCTACATAAACATGCTTAATCTTAGTCCTACACTGATGGTGCCAGAATTTTCTGTGGCACTCACACTCGTGGCTCCTTGCAATTGTCTAGCCATTCCGGCAGGGAATTTGCTGGGTACAGGCAGCCCTGTCTGCTCACTTCCTAGGATGAGTCATGGAGCATTTACACGTGCCCGTCATGAAGGGTAGGCTTTATATGACAGCTATAGCTGTGCCTGTCAGTAAAGTCGTAAGGGTAGTCAGCTATCTCCTGTAACGTTACAAGTATTTGCCATTTAAGGGACTCCTCTTCACAAGGTAAGTAAGTAGGTCATTTTCACGGTCTGACCAGTTCTTGTCATATATTGGACAATCACTCACAGGGATAGAATCAGTTCCAGTACAAGTATTAAGAGAGGGCTTTCGCAGGAATGGGTTTGCCAGTAAGGTCAATCAGGGTACATAGTGCATGAGCTTGGGATTCCGATGTAACTGTGACTAGGTATGGACAATCGGAGTGAGTACAAAAGGTAACTTTGCCTACTTGTTTTTGGAGGCACTGTTGAAAGAGAAGGGTTTTCTCAAAGGGGGGCTGTGTGTGTGTGTGTGTGGGGGGGGGGGATCACTAAGAATCTATCCCATTTGATTGGGCCAAAGAGGTAGCCGAGGTAGAAGCAGTAGAAGGATGAGGAGTGGTGGGGAGTGTAGAAAGGGGGGGGGTCACCAAATTACTATCCATTCACAATAAATAGAAAAACAACAATTTGTAGCATGAACTACTCGAGGCAATGTGTGTGTGTGTGTGTGTGTGTGTGTGTGTGTGTGTGTGTGTGTGTGTGTGTGTGTGTGTGTGTGTGTGTGTGTGTGTGTGTGTGTGTGTGTGTGTGTGTGTGTTGTGTGTGTGTGTGTTGTGTGTGTGTGTGTGTGTGTGTGTGTGTGTGTGTGTGTGTGTGTGTGTGTGTGTGTGTGTGTGTGTGGTGTGTGTGTGTGTGTGTGTGTGTGTGTGTGTGTGTGTGTGTGTGTGCGTGTGTGTGTGTGGTGCGTTGTGTTGTGCATGTGTGTATGTGTGTGTGTGTGTGTGTGTGTGTTGTGTGTGTGTGTGTGTGTGTGTGTGTGTGTGTGTGTGTGTGTGTGTGTGTGTGTGTGTGTGTGTGTGTGTGTGTGTGTGTGTGTGTGTGTGTGTGTGTGTGTGTGTGTGTGTGTGTGTGTGTGTGTGTGTGTGTGTGTGTGTGTGTGTGTGTGTGTGTGTGTGTGTGTGTGTGTGTGTGTGTGTGTGTGTGTGTGTGTGTGTGTGTGTGTGTGTGTGTGTGTGTGTGTGTGTGTGTGTGTGTGTGTGTGTGTGTGTGTGTGTGTGTGTGTGTGTGTGTGTGTGTGTGTGTGTGTGTGTATGTGTGTGTGTGTGTGTGTGTGTGTGTGTGTGTGTGTGTGTGTGTGTGTGTGTGTGTGTGTGTGTGTGTGTGTGTGTGTGTTGTGTGTGTGTGTGTGTGTGTGTGTGTGTGTGTGTGTGTGTGTGTGTGTTGTGTGTGTGTGTGTGTGTGTGTGTGTGTGTGTGTGTGTGTGTGTGTGTGTGTGAAGTGTGTGTCATGTGAATGTTTGTGTTCCCTCTTTTATTTCTTATCAAAGGGTGGGTGAGAGAGGGAAGCCAA